TCTGGTACAAACAGATATATATTGTATAGTATTTAAATTTGTCGACAGCACAGAAACCTCGTGCGTATATGCAAATGTAAACTATTGTTGAATTGTGGTATAAACTTGTAATAAAACGATTACAATAAAGTGATTACTCTGAATAACGCTAACAAATTCTGAACCAGATCCGTTCGATGGAATCGTGGCTTTTTGTCCGGAATATCTAGTGCGTTACTACATATATGGCATGCTGGTAACCACATAGTAATGGCCGGCTGTCAGGTAACGTATCTGTATTGCTTGTGTGGTCCGTTTATGTCACCGTATTGTGTCGACGCTTGCTGCTATATAATAATGACAGGAAATATGTGTGGCATATGGAATTTGCATAACCATACCGGAAAAATGTGCTTTGTTCGAGTGTGAAGATCCGTGTTCGAAAAGCGTACGTGTAAAACTGCGTTGGTTAGTTATATAGGTTTATATATATATTGCACGTACAATCTTTGAAACGCCATTGTGTGTTGGCTTATGGGTAGGAATAATTATTATCTCAAAAGACATTGTGCGTTCTGAAGCTAAATGATGTGAAATCGATAATTATAATCTACAGTGGCCCAGAACGAATGAATTAGAGTAAACCTAGCGATTAATTTATAATATAATTGGATTATAATTGTGATTTATTACAATGATTACATTTTGTGTGTATTCGCTAACATTCAGTCTGATGGAACTCAAGGTCATGTCTTCGAGCCACACCCTGGTTTTATGATAACGGGGAACTGTGGGCGTGTGTGTGCGCATGCGCGTCACCGCTCCCTCTCGTCTTCTCACGAGAATTGTATCACGAGATTTGATATGATGTGACGTCACGATCATACTCTGAGCTATGGAAATATATTATGCCGACATGCTGAGCGATTAATATAGCGCTGCTGCGGATGAGGGAGGTTGGGTGTTCTATGAGTGTACAGATGGTGTGTATGTACAGTAAATGCATCCTTCTCCAGCGTGCGTTGCAGCTTCGCACCGACGATTCAGTTTTTTCTCTCTCAAACATATTTCCGAATTATTTCCGAATTATTATTGAAATAATGACGATGTTTTTACCGCTTTCATGTCTGCATTCCTGCATGTGTTATTAGGCGCGTACAAGGCAAGCGTATTGCCCATCTTGTGTCAGTAAGTTGTAGTGCGGTTTGTTGTTTTGAGTATCAGAAACGTTGTCATTAAATGTGTTGATCTTCATAGATATGGTATTCGTCCAATAGCTGACTGTGTTCACCCGCGTTTAATATAGAAATAGAAATAGTTAGGTATTGCCACAAGCGAATTCCTTTGTTTTTGACGATTTTTATTAATAAAGTTATAATAATATCAACAGCAAAATGCAGAATTAAACATATATATAGATATGACACAAAATACAATATTCCACGTACGCAATTCCAAGTATACTTCATACAGGGTGTCCCTTACGCGTCAAACCATTGTCATAGCAACGCCAACTGCTACATGTACAATCTACAAGTGCTGCCGACGTGGACAGAAATCCACGTCCCAAACATACGTTACTATTATTGAGAGGTTCACAATTCCTCAAACACACACACACACTCGGTTGAGTAGTTAGTGTTGGAAGATTGCGTCATGCACGGCGAATGCACGTTAGCGTTACCTGAAGGCCACCTCGCACCGTTACCAGGTACGCCATTATCTTATTCATGTGGAGGTGACGTCAGCGTTTCTCTGAGGGAAAGGGAAAGAGAAAAGGACGGGAGCGAGATCGAAAAAGAAGATGGGAGAATGAACGAGGGAAAGCGAGAAAGAGATAGACAGTGAGCGAGAGTGACACACACACACACAAAGAGGGAGAGGGGGAGGCGAGAGAGAGAAAGAAAGAGATAGGGGGAGGGGAGAGAGTGAAAGCAAGAGAGAGGGAGAGAAAGCAAGAGAGAGAGAGAGAGAGAGAGAAAGCAAGAGGGAGAGGGAGAGAGAATATAATCCTGAACTTGTCCGCCATAATAAGACGGCGCATAACGTCGCCGTGCCTCCGCGAAAGGCAATAAATTACAAGACGGTGCGACGGTCAACGAGTTAGGCGATGCTGCTTCTGCGCATGCTCGATACGACACGAACAATACGCAGCCATCTTCCCTCGCATCCATCCAGCCACGGAGCTGGCGCTAAGTTCTACATGAACGCGAAGAGAACGCGAGTTTTCCTTTTGATTGCGCGTTTTGCAAAAAGAAAATACCCACAAGTTTTGCCGTGCGATAAATACATACGGTTTGCTTCTTTCACACCCCATTCCTATATATATATATATATACATAGAGAGATAGGGAAGAGGGGCGGAGGTGGGAGAGGTAGGAGGCAAAGTTTGGTATAAGTGCTCGGTCCGTCATGGATAAATTCTCAACGCAGTGCTAACGAGATCTTAGAAACACGACGAATAAAGGAGCGTAGCCGCTCACAGTGATAACATCTCACTCTCTCACCACCTCTAGCGGGTAGCCTAGCTTAGCTAGTTGTAGCCTCGATGGCCTGCGACTGAGGCGGGACTGCGTACGGACATCTATGTAATTGTCAGTATATACTAACGGGTTGTTATACCGTGGGGCATGCCGAGGCCGCCGCTGCCAGTTTTAGCTAAGGGTTAGAGTGGAGTCGGTGTGTGACGCAGGTGGGTGTGTGACACACAGGTAGGTGTGTGACACAGATAGGTCGGTGGGTGACTCACACGTCTGTGTGTAACACGGGGGGGGGGGGGGGCGGTAGACGGAGAGTAATTACAGTAGCCGAGCGCGTGCAAACACGTGTTACATGTGTTTCTCTCTCTCTCTTTACCCGGGCCCCGCACGTGGCAGCCATTTGCGCCTCCGTTAGCAAAGCTATTAGTTACTTGTAGCCAAACACACGCGAACATTTCGACCGGAGCTGCGCGCAAGTATACGCGGGGAATGCGCGTATCCACGCGCCCATATACATACCAAGCTATGCGAAGATTGCACCCAGCGTTTACACGTGATAGATTTGTAGAGGGGTATCGAGGTGGGTAGAGACTCTCTGTATAGCAAGACTCTAACAGTAGGTATAGGAAGGTGAAGGAGAAGGAGAAGGTTTGCTTGCCCACCATTAACAGTTTTGTACGAAAGCCGTTTCGCGTTGTCGTGACGTGCAAAGAAGCTGCGTGCAGGGATGCGTGCATCGTGCGTTACCATGGGTAACCACGTATCCGTGTGAAACCACGCGGTAATAAATATCACTCGTTACAATAACTAACATAATTATTAATTTACGCGTTTAAAATCCGCTAACAACTACCACGAGATGACAACGGATTAACGTGGGTTTTGCGCGTTCGTTGGCCGCCATTTTATAATCGCAGACGAACCAAGTATTCCTTCCGGTTCTCGTTAGTAAGCTGTACACTATATATCGTTCACACACGCGTGTGCAGGACATACATGCCGTCGTTTCCTAGAGGGAAACCAGTTCGTGTAAGCAATCTAAAACACCGGATGTTTCACCCGAGCCGACGAAACCGCAGGTTTGACGCGAAAGTGGGTGCGAAGGTGTTTTAACATTGCGTACAACAAATTCTGGCTTCACCCGTGAATTGTCCGGTATATCCGCGTGTGTCATGTCTCTCCCGTCTGCCCTGCTCGTTTGATTTTACATATCCTGCCCGCAAAACAACTCCTCTTCACGTTTTGACACGTTGACGATTCTCACTTGCATCCCTCCTTCTTGCTAACCACATCGTCACCTGAACACACACACACACACGCATGTATGTCCGGGTAGCGAACAGGAGTATAGCACGTTATTAATACATATTAGTAGACATATAATTTACATTGCAACGACGGCTAATATGACGTCACGAAATAAAATAATCTATATATAACTACATAAATAAGGAGTGGTACCGTAAACATAGATTCTACGGAAGATCTACGATATAGATTTATACATCTTATTCTATTTAGAGTGCAACTAACGCAGCGATATACTACAAGTGTTTACGCGTTCTATTCGCTTGTTATCATATATCTCGGTGGATACATTTCGCAACTATCTAGAATTTACAGTTACGATTTTGCATCAAAGTGTACGTTGTCGTCATAATAGTGCGATGAATACAATAGTACATAACAAGTTCAGTGCGGTTTCCATCCGAGGGGAACCAGTACATCGCCTAGGCACGCGGTCTATGCCGATAACCTGCTAACAACTGCAGCTTCGTCATCCAATATGGAAAATAAAATAGATCTTTATCGTTATATTCTCCGAGCTGAGAGAGAAATAGATATAGATATAGATATATATATATAATAACTTCGCTCGTGGCTGGAAAACAAACCCCATCGCTGTAGGAACTTCACGAAATTTACACATTGCTACCGTACGCATAATCAGATACACACGCGCACTCACGTACACGCGCGCACTCACGTACACACGTACACACGCGTATACACAAGCGTACACACGTACACACGCGTATACACACGCGTACACACGTACACACGCGTACCCACGCACACACGCACACACGTACACACGCGTACCCACGCACACACACGTACACACGTACACACGTACACACGCGTATATACACGCGTACACACGTACACACGTACACACGCGTACCCACGCACACACGCACACACGTACACACGCGCACACACGCACACACGTACACACGCGTACACACGTACACACGCACACACACGCACACACGCGTACACACGTACACACGCATACACACACGTACACACGTACACACGCGTACACACGCGTACACACGTACACACGCACACACACGTACACACGCACACACAAGTGCTCGCCGTAATGCGTAGCCTACATATCATTATGTGTAGCTGCTGTTCCACTGGTCGGAACCGACCGCGGTCAGGGAACTAGGGGGCGCGTAGCGCTGGCTAACCACATACGAATATGGCTGCGTCTGTGTCGAATAGAAGCTGCTGCCTTGCGGTATGTACTCATACTCGGCCTGTGTGACGGCCGGATACAGTCCCGGCTGCGGCATCTCGTACGGATCTCGCGAGAACCCGCCGACGTCTCCGACGCGCCGCACAGCGGTGAGATGCTCTAGCTTAACGCTCGATGCCGGCTGCAGCTCGTGGAAACGCGTCGCCGACGTCGCCTCGCCGACGACGGACGTCGGCGGTGCGGCGGCGCTGCTGTAGCTGTTGCTGTTGATGTAGACGGACTCCTGCGTGGTCGTCGCCACGGTGGTCGCCGATGGACGGTCGGACGGGCTGCGGGTGAGTCCGTACTTGGCGAGGGACGCCGGCCACGAGCTGTGTGGCGGCATGCCGCTGGAGGCCGAGCCGTAGTTGAGAGGGTAGTGCGCGAGCATGTGAGGGTTCGGCTGACCGTTGGGCAGGTACTGGTCAAACTCGGACTGGTCGATATGCTCGATGTTGCTCATGACGTCGGTGGTTAGTGACGCCATGTCGACCTGGTTGTAGTCGAGGCTAGGCTGATGTCCGCCTGTAACGATGAGAAGGGAGCAACACACGGGTTAGTGTACGCAGACGGTGGCCAGCAATTGCGCAGAGAATTGTCATCTATGCGATGAAATCGAGAAGAAAAAGAATCGAGGAAATCTGGAAGATTGCTCGGCATAATGATCGAAGTACTGCTGAGGATAATCAACGAATTAGTGCTAAAAGAGGCTCGATTTCTGGTGCTAGAGGAATGTTAGAATTAATGTGAAATTAACGCTTTGGTTAGTGCTGGTATTAGTGTTCAATTTAATTGCCGTGTTAGTGATGAAATTTTTGCTCTTATTATTTCTAGAATTGATGATGATATAATGAATGATTGATAACAGCGCTTGATAGCGCTAGCATTAATGCTAGAATTCGTGCTCGGAGTAATGCTATAATTATAGCTAGAATTGGTGCTGGGTTTAGCGCTAGGTTTAATGCTAGAATTCGTGCTCGGAGTAATGCTATAATTATAGCTAGAATTGGTGCTGGGTTTATCGCTAGATTTAATGCTAGAATTCGTGCTCGGAGTAATGCTATAATTATAGCTAGAATTGGTGCTGAATTTAGCACTAGATTTAATGCTAGAATTCGTGCTCGGAGTAATGCTATAATTATAGCTAGAATTGGTGCTGGGTTTAGCACTAGATTTAATGCTAGAATTCGTGTCGGAGTAATGCTATAATTATAACTAGAATTTATGCTGGATTTAGAGCTAGATTTAATGTTAGAATTCGTGCTCGGAGTAATGCTATAATTATAGCTAGAATTGGTGCTGGGTTTAGCACTAGATTTAATGCTAGAATTCGTGTCGGAGTAATGCTATAATTATAACTAGAATTTATGCTGGATTTAGCGCTAGCATTAATGTTAGAATTCGTGCTCGGAGTAATGCTATAATTATAGCTAGAATTGGTGCTGGATTTAGCGCTAGATTTAATGCTAGAATTCGTGCTCTAATTGCTCAACAATGAATCAGTGCTCACTGCACAGCCTCCTCACCTCTTCTTGTGTGCTTGAGGGCGCCCTCCTTTGTTCCATTAGGCGTTGTCGGGGGCGTCGGAGGACCCTGCCCCTTGTGTACGGCCATCTCCCCGCTGTTACCACTACTCGCCGCTTCCTTCTCGGAGGACTTAAGCGCCTTGAAGAGAACGGCGTTGGAGGAGTGGTTGACCTGAGAGGCTTCTTCTTGCTGGTTCGGCTGTGCTCCTTTCAGAGGCTTCCTCCTGCGTGGCTGGTACTTGTAGTCGGGATGCTCCTTCTTGTGCACGACGCGCAGCCGCTCGGCTTCCTCTATGAACGGCTTCTTCTCTCCGTCGCTCAGCAGTCTGCGAGAAGGAAGCAGAGGGAATGGTTAACTCAGCAGTCTGCGGGATAGATGGTGACGTAGCGATGATGGTGTATAGATGGTGACGTAGCGATGATGGTGTAGAGATGGTGACGTAGCGATGATGGTGTATAGATGGTGACGTAGCGATGATGGTGTATAGATGGTGACGTAGCGATGATGGTGTAGAGATGGTGACGTAGCGATGATGGTGTATAGATGGTGACGTAGCGATGATGGTGTATAGATGGTGACGTAGCGATGATGGTGTAGAGATAGTGACGTAGCTATAATGGTGTATAGATGGTGACGTAGCGATGATGGTGTATAGATGGTGACGTAGCGATGATGGTGTAGAGATAGTGACGTAGCTATAATGGTGTATAGATGGTGACGTAGCGATGATGGTGTATAGATAGTGACGTAGCTATAATGGTGTAGAGATAGTGACGTAGGGCTGAGTGATAGAGGGGTGCGAGCGATGAATGGGTAACGATGGAAGAACGAGCAAAGCCAGCAATAAACAGAATTTCGCGTGTGAATTATATAATTTTTATATGCCGCGATCGTTAAAAGGAGAATCGTAAAAGCTAGAGTCCGGGTAGCGATGTACAATACGCAGTGCGTGCGGCCTGCGAATGTAGGACGTGGCTCTATGACGTCCGCCCGTGAATGCATTGCCACCCCATACGCGATGACCGTTCACACGCAATACAGCGCCACGCACACACACACATACACACACACACACACACACACACACACACACACACACAGAGCGGCACAGCGCACCCCAGTGAGTAATCGGCGAAATTATTTCGAAATCGCTTGCTACGGTTATATTAAGCGTATGGAAGCTAATATATATATTATTTGCGAGTGCTGCATTTGATATGAAATCGGACTTCCCGTACGAAAAGGTTCGTTCATTACGTTAGCGTGTAGTCTGTTTACCTAGTTCGTGGGTGTCGCGCATCCGTGACCTACCCTGCGCTCTTCATACATTCCTGTCCTTCGTCTATACTCAATATATTTCACGCATGCTACGTTGTGCTCCGATTGTATATTATTTTTCCACACTGATATCTATCTATCTCTCTTATCTCTCTCGTCACTCTTTCTTTCTTTCTCTTTCTCTGCTCTTCATCCTCGGTCTCGTTCTCTCTCTCTCTCTCGGCTCTATATATATATATATATTATATATATAGTATATATATATAATATTATATATAACAGATGTAACTTGGTGAAGACTAGATGCAGGTGTAAAGAACAATAGAACGCAGTTTGAGACCAAGGGCAGCAGCTGAGTCGTGGCATGGACGGAAGGTGGCGCGCACGCACTTCAGATGCAAACAACGGAACGATATCATTATCTCATTGCCGCCGCATTAACGGCGACATTTTCCGGGTAATTTCTCGTTAGATAGCTTCGATATCGCAGGTGGATGACTCACAGCTTTGTTTGCTTGTTGATTGGTTGTTGGTCTTGTAGTTTGATCCGCGTAAGACACGCCGCGCGCCTTACAGTCGTCGTCCTAATCCAAGCCCTGACTGATGAATTTTTATATTACGCACAAAGTTTTAATTATTTTCTGACCCACTTTCATCGCTCACTATTCTCTCCTCTTATCTCGCTTCGCTTCTCTGCTGTCTCTCTCTCTCGCTGCCTTCTCTGTCTCACTCTGTACCCCCCTCCTTCTTTTCTTCTCTTCGTCTCTCTCATCTATTCACCTGCCTCACTTCTCTTGCTATATCTCGCTTATTATTTCTGATGAGTTTTTCGCACCTAAGACTATAGGACGAGTCTTTGATGCTCGTGGAAAAATTGCTCACTGCGGCCCGCGTGTGACTCAAAACGCATACTAGATAGTACACTAACAGTGCGTGCGGCAAGCATGTGCTAGGA